GTTCTGTACCACTAGTGCCACCTGAGAAGTGAAATAGGCATTTTGCTGAATTTTTACAAATTGAAGCCTCCCAGCACCCAGTTCATGAAATATTGACTGTAGCTTTGAAGCCCCTCCCTGGAACCAATCCAGTCACCAGGCTTCTCCCTCACCCCAGGATCAACGCTCTCCGGGTACCAAGCAGATAGACAGACTAGTGCTGCCTGGTGTTTATATTCATGGGCTCATTGAGTATGTTCTTGTTTGTTTTATCTGGCTTCCTTCGCTCAACATGATATTGCGAAATTCATCCTGGTTTTGTGCTTGGATGTTGTTCGTTGGCTCAGATGTTTCAATGGATCGCCATTTGCTCTTGTCTTCAGGGGCTGATGGGCACATGATAAGTTTGAGCTTGGGACTCTTACAGACAACACTGCTGTGGCTTTGGGAGGGTGTAGCTGTGCTGGGCGTGCACACAGGCCTGGGAGGTGTACGCCCAGGAGAGGATTTGCCCGGCCGCCAGGTGGCCACCTCTTCATCCTTGTTGATACTGCTTACCTGGACACACGAGAAGGAGCACGTGGTCCCCGGTGCTCAGAAAGAGGCCCCTTCTTGCGGGTAGAGGATTCTCATTAGTGCCTCAGCCTGAAAGCAGACATGCACACCGTTCCAGCAGCTGCTCGTCTTTCTCTATCTTATTTATTTATTTTTAATTTATTTAGTTGGCTGCACCGGGTCTTAGTTGCAGCACATGGGATCTTTTCAGTTGCAGCATATAGGATCTAGTTCCCTAACCAGGGATCAAACCTGGGCCCCCTGCATTGGGAGCATGGGGTCTTAGCCACTGGGCCACCAGAGAAGTCCCTCTTTCTCTGTTTTAATTGCTCCTTTAGGCACATCAATGGGGCAGCAATGCCCGATAGTCAACAGGACAGTTTGCAGGATCCTGAAGAGCCTTCTGAGTCATCAAAAGATTTTCTCACCTGCTTCTTTTCAGTTTTATGGTGCAATGATCAACTCATGCTGAGTTCAGGCCCGCTTAGTCACAAACAGTTATTCTATTTGTACTCTCTAGAAGGTGCTGTAAAAGCAAATTAAAAGTGGAATCTTACCCTTAAGGAGCTTACAAGCTTTAGGGAGTATAAATAACTCTTAATACAAGTTAGAATGAGATGAGATCCATTTTGAAAACATAGGCATGGGATTATTTTTTAATACTGGTAACCTACATGTATTAAACATTGTATTCTAGGATATTTGGTTAAATGTTACAAAATATTATGTGTAAACTTATTCTAAACCTTCCTCTGTTCATCAGTGGCAGACATATGTTCAGGTTAAATGCCACAGCCTAATTTTATTCTCTTCTATAAATCCAGGGACACCTATATTTCACACCAACAAATTTATTGAAGTAGTAAATTTTCTGCTTATCTCTCCATTCTTCAGAATATACCTAAAATCCCTCTTTTTTATTTCCCAGTTATCTGCTGGAGAGTTTAGTTCCACCATCTGATCTGTGTAATTATTTATTCAACAAATGACTGTTTAGCTTCCTTTGTGTCAGATATTGTGGCCGACCCCAGATACGGAATAATGAAAAATTCCCATACGAGCCTTGTCCTCCAAGAGTTTCCAGTCTCAGGAAGGACTGATAGAGTGTTCAAGTCAGACACCGAAAGTTCAAATGATGCTCCGTGTAGTGGTTTTCACGGCGTCCCCCACAAACGGATGCCCGCCAGGAGTCTCAGAAGGGGACCTTATTGGGAAATTAGGTTTTTGCAGGTGTAATCAGTTAAGATCATCCCGGTTTAAGGTGAACCCTGATTTCAATGATCGATGTCTTCGTAAGAGAGAAGAGAGGGGGATTCCGGTAGAGAGATACAGAATCATACAGGCCAAGCGTGACGGGGAGATGCTGAAGTGATGCAGCTTCTGGCCCGGGACCACCGGGGACAGCCAAGAAGCTGAGAGTGAAGGAAGAAGGCTTCCCCGGAGTCTTCAGAGAGGGCATGGTCTTGCTGCTCCCCTGACTCGGGACTTCCAGCCTACAGAGCGCAGAGAAGATCCATTTTTGTTGTTTGAAGCAACTGGATCTCACAGCAACCTGTTACCACAGTCCTAGGAACCTGGAACAGTGTGTGTTAGGTTGAAGCACAAGAATTCACCGATTTCGTCTGCTCTGACCTACACCAACATGGTAAATTCGTGTGTGCCCTGAGCTCGTGAGGGGGGAAATCTTGGTGATGAGAGGAAGCTTCTTGGGGAATTGCCGATGGAACTGAAATTAGTAAAGCAAGTAGATGTTCTTGAAGAACAAGAGCAAAAAGGGAGGAGAGGAGCTCCCAGGGCAACAGAGGCTCTGGGTCGGACAGAGGCCAGGACACTTTTGAGGAGCTGAAGAGGCAGGCGTGACGGGGATACAGTGTGGGCACAGGGCCAGCTGAGAGCTGGACAGGTGGGGACAGGTAAGGACAGGTAACACCAGGTCTGCCGCTGAAGCCTAAAGGCTGGCAGTTTTGTTTGAGAGTGGCGGACCACCGCCGAAGGGTTTAAGGCAGAGGACAGGATGACTGTGACCCCAGATGCGGGATGGATTTGAAGGAGCCAAACCACATGGGGTGACTGTGCGAGGGTGGGCGGGAGCCAGGGGGTGCTTCTGACCAGGGAATCACCAGTAAGGATCCAGAGAATGGGCCAGCTGAGAGGTTTTTAGGAAAAGAGCTCCATGTTTTTGCTCTGATGGCATATCCTGACTAATGTACCATCTGCCCTTGTGTCTCTTTGAAGACTTTAAATTCTCATAAAGTATGCATCCCAGTCCCGGCAAGCCTACAGCTCCAGTGTTGACTAATGTGATCACGTGTAGCAATTCTGCCGCCAAGAAGTCTCTAGAAGGAGAAGCAGCACCTTCTTTATTTTTCCCCTAATTTCTCCCTTTGTTCCTCACCTCGTGTTCACAACACGTTGTGTATAAGTCAGCTAGAAGGACTATTCTATTTTATTGTCATTATTTATTTCTATAGCCATCCGTTATAATGCAGGCTCCGTGAGAGCACATGCTGTGTCTTAGTTATCTTTCTGTCTCCAGAACTTAGCATGGAACCTGGCCTATGGGATTTGATTTATAAATGACTGCATCGATGTGTAAATAAATGAGTCAGCAGTCGCATGAATTAAATACTTCGTTTCTGCTCTGTCTTCTCAGCCCGTCTTTGGCTTTTTATAACTGCCTTCCTCTCTGGTCTGAGTTAACATATTAGCTGTTTTTCTTTTTCCCCCGGGTGCTTTACTTACCACTACAAATATTTTTCTATGAGTTGTGCCAATAAACTTTTGGAAAACATGTCTCTTGCTCATGCATCTCTGTTTATATATGGAGCCGTTTTTCTGATTGCCTGCATCTCCTGGAAATGCTCGCAGGGTTTGTCCTACACCTTTGGGAGCCCATTCTTCATCACTGTTGTTGTCATAACCATCTAATTACTGAGAGCACGCTGTGTTCAGTCTCCCACTCCGGGAGGGAGAAGGCGGTGAACAGTGGTGGCCTCTTCCCTAAATGATCCACCGCCAAAGACAGAGAGTCAAAGATGACTCACAAAGCTATAGAAGATATACAAATGGGTAAGGGAAACATTCATATTATATAAAACCAGAAGAACAGTTCCTACAGTGGTTATTCAGTCAATAAGTCATGTCCAACTCTTGTGACCCCATGGACTGCAGCACACCAGGCTTCCCTGTCCTTCACCATCTCCCAGAGCTTGCTCAAACTCATGTCCTTTGAGTCAGTGATGCCATCCAACCATCTCATCCTCTGCTGCTCCCATCTCCTCTTGTCCTCAGTCTTCCCCAGCATCAGGGTCTTGCCCAATGAATTGGCTCTTCATATCAGGTGACCAAAGTATTGGAGTTTCAGCTTCAGCATCAGTCCTTCCGGTGAATATTCAGGGTTGATATCCTTTAGGATTGACTGGTTTGATCTCCTTGCTGTCCAAGGAACTCTTGGAGGAAGAAAAAAAAAGGCAAGTTTCCCAAACTAGGAATCAGGAATAGAATCTCCCTGTGGGCTCACAAGCAGTTGGACAGCTGAGCCTTATATGGCATTGAACTTGGGATGTTCCCTCACAATGCTGATGGTCTCTCTGGCCAGTTTGGTTATCCCCACACGGTAGGAAGGCGGAGCTGCCGCCTCTGTTGTCTTTATAAAGGCTTCCTTGGCCTCTCACGTTCATCTTCCCAAAACCCAGGACAGACTGTCATTATAAAGTAAAAGCATATACAGCACAGAGGATAAGAAGTAGCTTTTGAAACATACTTCCCTAACCCCACCAAGAAAGACTCTCTGAATTAAAGTACTTTTTGACCTCTCAGCTCAGAATGTGTAATATAAATCCACAGCTTCCATGAAACCTAATCTGTAGAAATAGTAAAACAAACTAACAGAAGCAGAAATAAACAAATAATAAAACCATTTGCTTGTTAATCCCCAGATAGCTCATGGCGTGTAATTGAATAATTCCCAAGCATCTTTATAACTGCATAGAAAACTCTGGCTTTATGTACCAAATGTGTTGTTTCCATTTTGAGTTTTTCTTTCATTAATCTGCTAAACTAAAAATGATCAGTTTCCTTGACATTTTCCCTCTTTCAAACATAACCACTTGGGATTTTCTTTTTTTTTTTTTTAATATTCTTTTGATTTCTATTTCCAGCACATATTTATAAAACATTTTGCTGTTTAAATATGTTGGTGATAATGTCAGTCAACAATAAAAAAATCATGTTTGGGATGGAAAGGGGATTATGTTTCAGAGTAAAATAAACATTTTCCTTCTAATTTTATTTTTTCTGGTTTAGTTTTGGTTCAGTTTTTGTTTCCAGTGCTCAGACTTTGAATACTTGATGGGGCTTTACTGCCACCTGCCGTTTCTTCATGTAATAACTCATTGTTCCTTTGATTCAAATATTCTGATAGACTCTGACATATAGATCCCCCCTTTCCTCTTATTTTTCTTTAGTTAAAGCAAAGTGAAGCAAATGCAGACACCAAGGAAAAGCTCCCTTTGCGACTTCGCATCTTTGAAAAATTTCCAAACAGACCGCAAATGGTGAAGATCTCAAAGCTTCCTTCAGATTTTACCGTTCCTAAAATCAGGTATTAAAGTATTTCCTTACTTGTCTATCTCAATTACGCTGTAGAACATTCATCTTAAGTCTGACTCATCCCTTTCAAGCTCATGTGGGCGTGGCTCCTTTCTAAGTTATTACCCATGCTGCTACTCTTCCTCTCGTAAAAATCATTGAGCCCTTTAACCAGTACATCCAAAGCAGAGTTGCCTGCTTCAGCCCGGGAAGGAAGACTGCTACCCGACCCCTGCTTCTCCCTGAGACCGCTCCCCGGGAATGTGATGTCCCAGGGAACTGGTGCAGGTGGCCCAACTTGCAAGTGTAGTGCGTAGGTAGATATTGGCCTTTGACCCTCAACCATATCAGGATAAAATTGCCCCTGAAACCCTTCTGAGTTCACCTAAATGGAGAAATGACCACTGGCCAGGTTTCTGGATGACTGTGACAGCATTTGTTTAGAATGCCATATCTGGATACAGTATAATTTGTCTCCGAGTTTTTTTTAAAAGAGGAACCATGGCATTTAATACCCATACTAATATTATTTTATACCACCTTTGCCATCAGGTTAAACACTTGTACTGCAGATGCTTTAAAAAGCTTATTTTTAATGTTTAAAGGAAATTCTTCCAGTTCTAGCTCAAAACTTACAAATATAACTAGAATAATGTCAGATATGACATTTTTATGTAGCTACTTTTAAAAAAATTCTATGGGAAGGTTATAAAAGTATGAGACTGAATATCATGCCATAAATTTAAAATTCAAATCAAAATATATTTGCACTTCTGATTTAAAAGAAAAAACAAAATTTAAAACCTGAAAATACAAAGTATATAAAAGAGTCATAAATTAGATTCAAGATTAGTGGGTATTTGAAAAGATGTTATTTGAATTCTCCCCATGCCTTGGAGATCAGATGAAGTTTCATTTGAGTTATTTTGAGTCTTTAAGTGTAAAATTATCTCTCAAGCATTCTTACGATAAGTGAAAATTCAGAGAGATGAACTAAGATCTTATTACCACAATAAGATTCAAAAGATACCATTAATTAACTGAATATTGTTGCATAAAAGTAATTTTAGGGACATGACTTTTTAAAAACAGGAATGACTGAAGATGCAGGAATTTTTCTCTCAATTAAACATTTTGCAAATAATATTTTCAATGAAATCTAAACACCTCTTTATCTTATTTTCTATGAACTTGTCTATGAACATATCTTGTTTTCTATGAACTTTGTCACTGCTTTAACTTAGCTCAGGTAAATACGTCCTTGCAAAACGTCATCCCACCCCTTGCTCCTTGTCGTTAATAATGCTTGATGAATGTGTGCTTCGTTTGCAAAGGGAAAGTTTCATGAAGCAGTTTATTGATCGTCAGCAACAGGACACCTGCTGCCTCTTACGGAGTCTTCCGTCCACGTCTTCCTCATCCTGCGATCACTCCAAACGGTCTGCGATTGAGGACAACAAATACATTGACCAAAAAGTAAGATCCACTGTCTCAAAGAACCAGATTTTTCCTTAAGCCTTTGTTAGAGGAAAGGGCTTTGCAGGTGGCTCAGTGGTAAGGAATCTGCCTGTCAATGCAGGAGATGTAAGGGACCCCAGTTCGCTCCCTGAGTCGGGAAGGTACTCTGGAGGAACAAATGGCAACCCACCCCAGTGTTCTTGCCTAGTACATTCCATGGACAAGGGAATCTGGCAGGCTAAAGTCCTGGAGGTCGCAGAGAGTCAGAGGCGACTGAGCGAACGAGGGATGGGGGTGTTAGAGAAAAGAGCCACAGCACGTAACTGGGCCCTGAAATCCTCCTGTCTCAGGAGAATAATGAAGAAAATAATTTTAGCTGTTGAAGAGGTCATTAAACCTAACCTTTGTAAATTTGGGAATTTAAAATTCACATTTCTACAAGTCAGCTTTTGAGCCTTGACATATGACAGGTGGGTGGCTTCCAGTAGGTTGACAGTCTTCCCAAACCTGCAGTTTTTCATGTGCAGAAGGAAGGGCTCTGAGCTCTCAAGTTCAGCCCAGGGTTAACAGTGGCCTGTACACTGCTTTCTGCACGAGACCATGCTTATTCCAGTTATTGTGACAGGGAGACTAACTAGAGCAAGCTTCTCTAAAATTAGTCCCCAAAACTACCATCTGTTGAGTTTACTAAGGCCTGTGGCAGGTATGTCTTTATCGTTTGAGCTTCCCTGATGGATCAGATGATAAAGAATCTGACTGCAATGCGGGAGACCTGGGTTTGATCCCTGGGTCGGGAAGATCCCCTGGAGAAGGGAATGGCAACCCACTCCAGTATCTTGCCTGGAGGATCCCATGGACAGAGAAGCCTGGTAGACTATGGTCCACGGGGTTGCAAAGAGTTGAACATGACTGAGTGACTTTCACTTATCATTTGAAAAGTAGATAGGGAATTTTTCCCCAAATTCCACAGTTAGAAATGAAAAATGAATCACAGAGTTTGTGCAAGAGATTGCACATTAGAATTTATTTGCAAAAGCATCTGATTCAATTGCAAGTATTTCTCTTTTGGACCTCCTAGTTTCTCTTTTAACCCTTTAAATTGCTGCCACCGTTTTTCTGCGGCTTATCATCAAATACAGTAAGTCCTCTACAAACGAACAAGTTCTGTTCCAAGAGTGCACTCGTAAGTCCGGTTTGTTCTTAAGCCAACAAAATTAGCCTAGGCGCCCAGCTAACACAGTCAGCTGTATTGTACTGTATTATAATAGCTTTATAACACCTTTCACACATAATACATAAGAAACAAACACGAAAAATAAATACTTTTAATCTTACAGTACAGCACCTTGAAAAGTACAATAGGCAGTCCAACAGCGGGCACAGAGGGGCATCGAGGGAAAGGCGGGAGGAGCCCCGGATTGGAGGAGGGGGAGGAGGTGGGAGACGGCAGAGCTGGAGTGTGGCCGGGGATGGGAGATGGAGTGGGTTGGGATGCGAGCTGCAGTGTCACTCATGCCCGATGCTGATGCAGTGCATGCTGGAATCTTCGAACGTTCTCAGCTTGAAGGTTCATTTATAGGGGACTCATGGTTTATATTTCTCTATTATTATGTGGACATAAAATGCCAATTCCTCCACACTCCAAGGTTCTCTGTTTCTCCCCATTCTCCAAAGGTTACACTTCAGAGGATGTTCACTTATTCCTCTCCTCTTTGTCTCCCATCCCCTCCCAGAATGAAACAAACTTCTGCCGTTTATCACTGCCTCAATTCCCCCGTTCTCTGCTGTAGTTTAGTGATTTTATTCTCAATGATGATGACGATGGGGCTCCTCTGGTGGCTCAGACGGTAAAGAATCTGCCTGCAGTGCAGGAGACCCGACTTCAATCCCAGGGTCAGCAAGATCCCCAGGAGAAGGGAATGGCAACCCACTCTGGTATTCTTGCCTGGAGAATCCCATGAACAGAGGAGCTTGGCAGGCTACAGTCCACGGGGTCACAAAGAGTTGGACATGACTGAGCAGCTCACACACACATGATATGGATGTTGATTTATTTTGTAGTGTGTTTCTTCTCCAGGCTTCCCAGGTGGTACTAGTGGTAAAGAACCTGCCTGCCAATACAGGAGACGAAAAGAGATACAGGTTCAACCCCTGGGTTGGGAAGATCCCCTGGAGGAGGACATGGCAACCCACTCCAGTATTCTTGCCTGGAGAATCCATGGACAGAGGAGCCTGGCAGGCTATATCCATGGGGTTGCAAAGAGTTGGACATGACTGAAGTGACTTTGCACGCACACACACAAAGACTTATACTCTTTTTAAAAAGGTTCTTATTAAAGTTGTCATGTCTCTTTCCCCAGAGTTATGTTTACTCATATTGTGTACATGGCATAGAAGCAGAAACATTTCTATGTTGGTGGATAAGCCAGTGGGAAGATAATCACCTGGTTTCAGCCGATCCGTCTGAAATTGCAGTTTACATACAAAAACACAGATTGCCTTATTTTCTAAATTTATTTCGGAAGTGGACTTTAAGCCAGAGAATGTGCTGTGAAGCCCCAATCTGGGCTGTGGTTATGACCTGCCCTTTCCAGGAAGGATGCTGACAGCTGATATCATTAGATGCCCAACTTGACAAATCCACAGCTTGCTTTTTTTTAAAAATCCCTACTAATGATATCTATTGGAAATATCAACACAAAATTGAAGTCTTTTTCTCTGAAAATTTATTTTCTCTCTGAAAGGAAACATGATGTCTCTCACATTTCCTGAACAGAATATTTCGAAATGGGTGAGAAAAAATAAAAGATCGGCGTGGGGGTAGGCTGGAGGGTGGGGGAGAAGGGGCATCTGAAGGGAATTTGGAACATCTGTGAGTTCACCATCATCCCTGCCTCCCTGGGTGGTCTTTACCTTGGATTAGGTCGAAGAATTTCAAATGCCATCTCTGATCTGTTTAATGTCCTTATGTGTTTGCGGCTTCTTTTTATATTCTTGCTTAACTGTTACTTTTAACTGTCTGAAAGTAAGAAAACAATTATAGCCTTATTCTGTAACCTGAGTCCTCTCATAATCCCCTAATATATAATGAACTAGCAAAGAGCCTGGTCCTCGGGGGATCCAAGTCCCTCAGCTCTAAAGGGACTGGAACCTTTGGGAGACTGCAGGCGGTCCCCATCTAGAAGGTCGGTTGATTCAAACACACATGGTCTTATACACAGAAAACCATCAGCAGTGCTTAAGTTGCCCTTCATCCCTCATTGGCCATATGTAGATAAACTACAGTTAGAACAATATCGTTCATCTTTTTGCAGCCTTCAACATCTGAAAAGTGGCACGTAGGGACCATAGTTCATCTGTTCATCTCAGCAGTAGCTAGCTGTTGTGACAGCAGAAAAAAAGACTTCCCTGGGTGGCCACCCATTCTTAAAGCTTCGACTTTCCTTAGGCTTCTAGGAAAGCAGACTTAATTCTTTCAAGACTCACTGCTTCCGGCTTAAGCTCCGGCTGCTCTTCATAAATACTTAGGATCTGTCATCCTTGAGGGCTTTGGGCCAGGGAAACCCAAGGCAGAGAATCCCACTTAGTGAATTGCAGTGATTAGAATTTATGGGAAGTATTCAGAAATCAAGGAGAAAGTACTCTGGAATCTGTATTTTTAGGGTTTTTGGTTTGTCTTTTGGCTGTGCTTTGCAGCTTCTGTGATCTTAGTTCCCCTACCAGGTATCGAACCTGCTTCCCCTGCATTGGAAGCATAGAGTCTTAGTCAGTGGAACACCAGGGAAGTCATTGGTATCTGGTTTTTTTTAATATGGCAAACCTTTTTCATTTTTCTTAAGAAACCTCTAAAGCCACTTAAAAACAAAAATATACAAACACACAGCAAAATTCCTGAACAGAGCACATCTCAGCAAGTGCTTGTAAATTTCTATTACATTCCAGCTGCCTTTGCAAACGCCAGTCAGTGTCCAGTGGAGAGCAAGGTCCTTGGCTCTGTGTGAAGAAACTCTCCCAGTTTTGGGGAAAAAACAAGTATGAAATCAGAAGAAAATGAGAGACTGGCTTTTGGTGATTCTCATAAGGTGAACCAAGGAACAATAAAGTATTAATAAAACTTTTCTCCTAACGATTACCTGTCAGGAGAAACTTCGGACTCCCTCTGCACTAGAGCAGCTTACTTTTTTCTTGCCAAAGAACACTGGGTCCCTAAGAACCTGGAAATCACAAGTTAAGGGGAAGACCTGACAACAAAAGCCAGGAGGGCTGAGGCTGGGTGTGCGTTCGATGAGACAGTGCAAGAAAGCAAAAGTACATGCTAAGCAAGATTTTCTCAAGTAATTATCCTGGCTCTGAACAACGGTGAGAAATTCCCATGGCAACCTCACTTTGCAGAGACCATGTTTTTTAAAATAGCCCTGTTTGATTACCTCTATCACATAGTTTAAAAATACCTGTCCTCCATAAGCAACGAGCAAACAAAAATCTAACATCTGTTGTGTGGCTTGATCAAATCCTGAAGGAAAAAGACAGCAGTGTGGTCCCACTTTTCCCTTGGGGTGAATGTCCTTCCAAACCCCATAGAAATGGGTTCCCAAGTGGCAATCCCCACATCTCTTACCCTTCCCTTTCCCCTACACACCCATGGGAATCTTCAAAGGGTTCCCTTTCTTCCCAATTAAAGGATAAACCCGCAGATCTCGAAGGATTCTTTCTAGTTTGCAACAGTAGAAAATCAGGTAGCAGTTTTCTACTCATCTTTCCCCTCTGTATTATTGAAATTCTAAGGAAATCAACCCTGAATATTCATTGGCAGGACTGATGCTGAAGTTGCAATACTTTGGCCAACTGATGGGAGTAGCTGATTAATTGGGAAAGACCCTGATGCTGGGAAAGATTGAAGGCAGGAGGAGAAGGGGATGACAGAGGATGAGATAATCAGATAGCATCACCAACTCAATGGACATAAATCTGAGCAAACTTTAGGAGATAGCAAAGGAGAGGGAAGCCTGGTGTGGTGC